CGGATGCTGAAATTTAGTGCTTGTGACTAACGTTGCGGGAGTTTGTGCCTAGGTTTGCCGCTATAGTGGGTTATCCGTTGGCCTAACTGCTGGCTACATTGCGTGTCCACAGGTGGCGTATAGTGGGACGACCTTAAGTGAAGGTTAGTCGCAAAATAAGCAGGCTCCTGGGTCTGACGAATAAGCAGTCGCGGATCAGCAGCGGTAGTGCTACCAGGGTACGGAGAGCTGAGGTCTGGCGCACCGACTGCCTTATAAAATGCCAAGAATCCCAATACATGAACTGTGACATAAAGTCAGTGAACTGATATAAGATAAGTTTTCTTGCCAGTGCTGCTTTGTGGTCCGGTTCTTGAGTTGAAGTGCTAGAGTCGCTGTCGGGGCCTCGTCTATATTCAAAATCCCCAAGAAACCTCATGAAACCCACATCCAATAATAGTATTAGGATTCCTGCTACGGCATCCACGGGACAGACGTGCTCCGCAACCCTGGTCCACTGGTGCAGAAGAATAGTATGCGAGCCGGAGTACTCAACCGAGAACAGACTCTTGGCATTGGGTGCTGGTATTGGCAAACAGTTCTGGACCCTGATGCCCAATTAGTTTCTGACCAGGAGAGGACACCCGTGGAGAATAATGGCCATTAATTTAAATAAGTAGATGGCTTTAAATACAGATTGAAAAGAAGAAGCCGTGTCGATTACCGGGATCATAGTATAGTATCACGATGCATCCGGTGATCGAGACGGCTTTTTATACCTGGGATGCAAATATTTGCCTCAATTCGGTTTAAGATACCTCGGACGAGGTTACTGCCGAATGGGCATAATAGGGACGACATTGTTCCCTAAATGATGTTGCTCGCCGAGTTTCCCCAAACAGCCGAAAGTGCTTATGGATCCGACCTGAAATCTCCATCGCCAGGAAGATCCGCGTGTGCCGCGCATCCGTCCGGTCAGTCCTCCCATATGGATGTGAATGCCAAGCTTTGCGCCCTGAAGGCTAGGGTATTTGACCAAAGCGGCCTGAGGATCATCCTTCGAGTGAAGTACACCGACTTCGTCCCAAATGAGACGGTACGAATCCGCTGCAAAAAATATCGCAGGGATATCGCAGACCATCCAATAAAATCAATTAAGGTGGTTTGGACACGTTCTCCCTTCTCCGCCTCACGAGCTTTGTTATGTTGCCGCACTACAGATCACATGGGGGCGTCCAAGAGGAGGGCAACTCCAAGCCTGACTCGATACCGTTGGTCAAGACAGGGAAGCGGTTCTGTGACCTTCGGTTTTCGGTCTCCGTCGCCGTCGCGGGAGAAGGGAATAGGTGGAGCTTTCCAGATCCGCTGGCACCAATCGTCACGCGTGGAGGGGTCCCGCCTGGGACATCATTGACGTCACAGTCGTAGTAAGTGCAAGAACAGTACAAGTACGTTGATGGTTTTGTCTCTGAAGATGGACTCAAGTAAGAGTTCGAAAGCTCGGAAGAATAGAACTATGATTCCGGTGATCGAAGTGCCTTCTTCTTTACCTATATACGCACACATTTAGGATCCGAACATTTACCTTAATGTGTAAGTATAGTATTACCGAGCAGCGGCAAAGGCAAATATTTTTTATCACTTGTTTTCATTTGAGCCCCTCAGTTTGAAGCAAACTCTGTATGTTGACTATTTGACAGGTGCAAGCGTGAACTAGTGAGACATAACACCCTGTTCATAGCACTCTGCGTCCACAAAAGACAAATTATTTAAACCCACGTGATTATCGATCGCTCGGACAAGCTCAGCTCTCCAGCAGCGTCAGCTGGAGGACGAAGCAAAATGCCCTTCGATCAGAAGAATGGACCTAGCCTGCGCTTCACCAACATGGAAATTCAACCCTACGAAAACAAGGGAGGCCAAAAGAATAACATAATTCCCCTGAAGGAGGCACCCCAGTCGAAATTGAAGTTAAAGGATAAGTACGCGTTGACCCCACATCTGTGCACCCTCTCAGACACGGAAAAACGCCTGTTGGAACGGAACCACGCTCGCGTCTACCCCTTCGACAGTTGGGCTCGTATCAAGTGGAGTGCCTATGCCCTGCCTACCTCGCCTACAGAGATTCACCAGGTCTCGCTCACGCACGCCGTCTACACGGATCCCCTACCGGGTCGATTGCCACCACTCATTTACAAGTAGTTGCTAATTGTATGGTTCTGGGAGTGTTTCCAGCCGAAAAGAATGCTCTTTATGCGGTCCTACCCTTGTACGTGCGTGTGTGTGAAAAATCCCCTTTTAGTACGTCAATTTAGTTCCTCTGTTACTGTACGAACTATGACAAGCGACAAAAGGGGTCTTCGTGCTAGATGAGCCAAGTAAAATGAATACATTTTCCTCAATTTTGATTGGTCAGGTGCAATTCGATCAGGGAGTGCTGGCCAATGGCGGAGTGGCATAAAGTGTTTATATTTGAACAGAGCGTAACAGTCAATTGGTCGCCCATCTTAGATACCCCTAGGCTCTAGTCCTGTGGTTAGTTTTGGGTTGGTTTATTGTTTAGATTATTAGTTTAATTGTAGGTTTACTTTAACTGGATACCCCCAACGTTAGATAAATATACTTAAATAACTACCATATACTAAAACAAACTAATTAAACTAAAAAATAGGGAA